CTCACGGGTTTCACGAAAACATGCTGGTCTCACGTGAACCCAACCCTATATATATATATATATATATATATATATATATATATGTAGAAAGATTTATTTCAAAAGTGGTAAATATTTGAGAAATAAGGAAGTGATCATAGTCCTTCATCTGGTCAATATTGGTGGCTTTGATAGTGAAGCACTGGATAATTTCTCGCATGGGTATAAAGAAGATGGAGGGGTAATTTCGTAACTTTTACAAATAGGTGGCAAATGGGTTCATATGTGAACCCATGTGATTCACATATAAACTATATGTTCATGCTTCAACTCAAATTCATATGTTAATAGTCAACAATGTACATAATTAAAAATGGAAATTTAGATTGAATTATCATGTAAAAATACGACTCTCGTTAGACATACATAAAAAAAATCGATGGCTTGACATGATGAAAACGAGCTTAACAAGCAGACAAATTAATGACCGTTTACTTCTTCAACATTTAGCAGATAAAGAAAGTTATCGTTTTTCTTTGATAGATGACAGTCACCAATCAATAAAATAAAATATGTGTTATCTGATATTAGTTGTTAGAGATAAGGACTATTAAAAAAGACGTCATCGTATTATTTATAGGATTTTCTCCTTTTCATATTGTATATGTTAAATTGATATTTAATAATTTGTAGACCCGTATTCAAATAAATGGTCGCTAGGATAAGATACGTGTGATCAATTTTGCCAAAAGTAGGTACGACAACGAGACTGATATGACGTGTAAACCATTTATATTTGTATACTCCCTGATCGTTTGATCCAAAAAAATTGACAAGCCTCAGAATATTTTTCCAACATATTATATTGTTCAATATCGTTATTATAACTTATTGTTTTATAAACTATAAAGATAGAAATTTGTTAAGAGGTTTAAATTCGTATTAACAACTTATCACGAAGTTAATATAAAATGAATAATTAATTTAAAATGAAAGTGATATTAAATAAACTATTAAAATGCAGCGAAGATAAATCTCTATTTTAACGTTTACTTTTTATTTTTTTGTCTCTATCGATATACTACAATTTTATGTGGTTTTGATAAAGTGAAAATGTTTTCATTTTTGAATGAAATATAAATTTGAAGATGTCATAAAAAAATTTGAAAAAAATAAAATCGATATTAGTATCAAATTAATTATTTAATGGTTATCATTTTTTTTTGTGTAACTTCTTTAATTCAATTTTTTATTATAATTTAATTTAGATTCAATAACAAAATAATTTATTTTGTGTTTAATAATATAATTTTTTATAAAGATAATAATTAAACATTCTCTTAGAATTTAATAATTATCTTAATTATATTTTAGATTTTTTATATTTAAAGTAGATTTTGATCGTGTATTTGATTTTATTTATCTGCAGTTAGTTACACGAATTTAAAAATGGAGCTTTAATAAGTTGTATTTATGTAAAATTACTTGTAATCTTGAATTTTAAGTAATATGCATCAATAAATCGTATTTCATGCATAAAAATTGGTTTTTAAGAATTTTTTGTCAAATACTTTATAATATAATATAGAATATATATATATATATATATATATATATATATATATAAGTCAACAATTTTGCATCAATATTCAAATAAACTTAAATATAAAGAAATTACATGTTAAATTCAAAGTCTTCGAATATATTATATTTCACAATAATATTCAAGTTGAGAAACTACATAGACCAAATTTGTAGTTCATTTTAAATTATATAACTATTTAATTATTGTATAATATATTTTCAAATAATTAGAAAAAGGTTAAATATAAATTAATCATAAACAAGGTTAAATAAAAAGACATTACGTAAAACTCAAAATTTGATAAATCCATGGTAAACGAAGCTATTATTTGGATTTGAATTCTTGAAACTTTATCATAAGTTCGGGATTCTATAATGCATATCATTATCTCAATCGTCGGTTGAAATCTATGACCGATATACTAACAAGTCAATAAAGTCTTGTAAATTCCTTACTATATAAGAATGAGAAGTTCAATTTGATTTCATAACACAGGTATACAAAGAAAAGTTCAATTTGATTTCATAAAACTATTATAAAACAATATAACTATTAATATATAACAGGTTAATATCTGATTTTATTCTACCAGTTTATATGGTTATTCGAACATGAAATTTATGAACCTTATTTCCATATATAATAAAATCTAAAAAAGGTTTACCAGCTCATGAATAAAAACGGAGATTTAAACCCGTAAACACACAAAACTTGATTTTTTTTTTACATGAACCAATATAAAAACTCTATATGTTTTTATTAATAACTATAAGGGTATTTGTGTAATGCATCAAGATACATTTTCATTTCAATGTTTCATTTTATTTTTTATCCATGTTGATATAATATGATTTTATGTGGTTTTGATAAAACGATAATGTTTTTTTTGAATAAAATATAAATTTAAAAATATCATATAAAATTTGCAAAAAATATATCAATATTAGTACAAATTAACTATTTAAAAGTTCTTATTTGTATATTTTTTAATTCAATTTTTTATCATATTTAATTTAACGTAACGAAGTAACTTAATTTAGGTTTAATAATATATTTTTTTATAAAGATAATAATTAAGTATTCTGTTAGAACTCAATAATTATCCTAATTATATTTTAGATTTTTTATATTTTAAAATGAGATGTTATCCTCTATTTGATTATGTTTATCCGCATTTAGTTATCCTATTTCAAACATAGAGCTTTAATAAGTTGTATTTATGCACAGTTTACTTGTAATCTTGAATTTCAAGTAATATGCATCAATAAAGAGTATTTCATGCATAAAAAATGGTTTTTAAGAGTTTTTGTCAAATGCTTTATAATATAGTATAGATAAGCAATGACGATCAACGGTTGTACTTTGATTTATAAGTTGAGGAATAAGTAACCAAATGGTGATTAGTTCAGTGATACCCGGATTACTGGTAGATTTTAACCTTCATCCACCTCCCGCGAGATCAAGAGTTTAAGTCTCACCAAAGGTGAGGAGTATATGAGTTTTGTACTATATAAAATATTATATATTTAACAAAATGACCAATAAGTCAAGATGTACTGAGCTAGGAAGACGTATTTTCAATTGTCAAATAAAGACAACACTTCATGTTTTATTACTATTTATTATTGAACGATCCATAATCATCTGGATCCACAAAAGATTCAAAGATCAAGGTCTAATTAGGACCCAACCTGTTTAAGAATGAAATACGTTGGCTGGTGCTGGTCTATGTGGAATTAGGCCTACCGAGTCCAGATTAGGTCTATGTTGTCTAATTACTTGAAGCAGTTATATAAGACCGGATTAAATTAACACCATAACAGCATCGTACTAATTGATCATAATTCTCATTTCCTTTCTCTCTCTAACTTTCATGTTCTCTTTCCCGAAACCCTAAAACTTCATTGATGAAGCCATGCAACCTATAATTTGAGGGAAGTATGAAGAATCGAAGGTGGCAATTGAAGCATTAAAGTTATCTATATAAGGTACGCTGATTATTATTTGAGTGTTCCATTAATTTGGATAAGATCTGATGAAACCATGTAAATTCTTACGTAAGTTGCAATTCTTGTAGATTGTTGATGAATCCTAGGTAATGTGATATATATTCGAGATTTCAAAACTGGTCTCAACTTACTTGGGATTTACACCCTGTTTATAGAAAATTCATATAAAATCAGTAGTTTCTTCAAATAGGGTGAATCTTGTGCGATTAGATTGCTAAGAGAGATTTCTACAACTTTTATTCAGAAGTTAAAGCTTAATTTGGCCTCTAAACACTAGAAAAACGCCGAAAAGTGAGAGGGAGGGAAGCTAGTATGTGTAGGGGATTGAGCTACAGTTGTCGCTTATACCTTACGCGTATTCAGCTTGTACCATATGAAAAACTCATACCAATCAACCCTAAATATAACTAGTACCACTACAGAGAAAAAAAGTAGTAGAAACAGTGGACTAAGACCTATATACTTAAGTAAACATATTGGTTACTATATAAGTGGTAACGAGTTATCGTACTATGTAAAGGTAACTAGGGGTGACTTGTTTTATTAGAGTACTTAACGAGACGTTACATAAATTATTACAACCTAACAATTCAAATATGTATAAAGTAAATTTACATCACTCCTATTAATACATTATAAAATGTCTTAATGTAAATCGTCATGTTAACTATTTACAAGACGTTTCTTTAAAATGTTTTAAAAACCCGTTTCATTACAATGCAAAACTAGTTTTAAAAAGATGGGTTACATTTTTAAAGACCATAATTTATATACGTATGAAATATCATATAAAAAGGATAGACAAAGACATAGAAATCTATATCAAAACCCATATACCAAACAGTGATAGACTAGGTAAAAAACAAACAACTAGGATCAGTGGTCCTAATCAGACCTGATTTTGAGAGTATGAGTTGGGTCAGGACCAAGACCCACACCACGTTTACATGTGCGTTCTAGTTAAGACCAAGATCGAACAAAGCAAGAACTTCATATCCAAGTACAGATTATTTTGTGCATTTAATTAACCATGTGCATGCGGCCCTATCAAAATATGTTTCCAGAAAGGTGTTGACATGTCTACATATAATTCATTTTAAAGAAGATCGAGACTTGAATTTATTACGATTCCAATGACTTTTCATTGAAATCTGAAAGATTAAGAGTACAAATACATAGGTTGAAAGACTTACAACTTCTCCACGGTTAATACCCAAAAGGGAAAGGGCAGAAGCCAGTTTAACACACCGGTCGCGTGTTTCATTCCATGTATATACTATATCACCGTAGATAACAGATGGACTTTTTCCGTAGACAAATGATGCCCTTTCTAGAAAACTAATAGGTGTCAAAGGCACATAATTAGCTTCACATTGATATAAACCCTCCATCTCCATATCCAAGAAAATGAATGTTGGGTTGGTCATCTTCTTAACCCATAAGTAGAGTCATTTATAGACATGCACCACCATACCAATGATGTCACATTGGTGACGTATTCAAGGGGCAAAAATGGTTATGTATAAATATTTAATAAATATAAGTGGGAAATTAAAATAAATAAAAAAACGATAAAAGCGATATCTATCAGCGATTTCTTACTTTTATGTGAATCTGATCGATCGAGTTCAGGTGCGTGATAATTTTTAATATTATATAAATTAAAGTGGTATATTCGGTAAATTATTATCTGTTAATAATTAAGACGGGAAATTTAACACCGATTGACGTAATAAAAGATTCTTATATAACTTCTTTTTTAAATGAAAAGTCTTTTACTTCTATTTTGGGTCACACGCTTTTAAATAAAAAAAAAATGAAGCATATATATAATTGAAGAAATTTCTTGGAAATTATTTATTTATTTTATTAATCAATAATTAATTAAATTATTTACGTGGGGGACGGTTTCTACTAAGTCAACCTTTTATGGTGCAAAAGGGCATTCCTAGTGGACATATAATAATATAGACTCAATTAGACATGGGAATGGGCAGGAATGAGCGGGGACCTCAATCCTCGTCTCCGTCCTTGATTACTTATTTTTATTTTCATTTTTGTCTTCATTTCTGTCGAGGAATATAATCATATCTTCATCCTCGTCCCGAACGGGAAACAAGGATCCCCAATGGGAAAACAAAGAATTTTTTCCCGTTTATATAAGTTATTTTAAATTACATATGTGAGAGACCATACATGTTTAAATCTCAAACATTTTCAATAAACCTAAAACCAAAAAAAATTCAATTAAATCCAAAAAAAAAAACTTAAATTCACATGTACCAAAAGATATTGAGTAATATAAAACCATATCGAATAATATACAAAACTTATCGAGTAATTGCATTTTGACTTGACATCCAAAATATTACATATTAACATCCAAAAAATTACAATTTTAAATTACAATCTTAGTTAGGAAATAGGAAATTATAAACTACCGCTTTAATTGAAACACATAATATATATATATATATATATATATATATATAACGGGTACGGGGCAGGGCGGGAAGTACCATCCCCATCCCCGATTTAGCGGGGAATCTCCGTCCCCTACCGGGACGGGTGGACCGGGTTCCCCGATGGATCGAGGCTCATTCCCATGCCTAGACTCAATTAGATCGCTGGAAAGTTTGGTAAACTACAAGGACTAAAAATGTAATTTGTTCTAAAGTTAATTATGATCCATATGTATTTTCAAATTTATTATATATCTATATTATATTTTAAAGAATTTGACAAAAACTTTTAAAAACCATTTTTTATGTATGAAGTACTGTTTATTAATGCATATTACTTAAAATTCAATATTACAAGTAAATTGTGCGTAAGTACAACTTATTAAAGCTGATGTTTGAATTCGTGTAACTAACTGCAGATAAATATAATCGAGAGGATAAACATCTCATTTTAAATATAAAAAATTTAAAATATAATTAGGATAATCATTGAATTATAGTAAAATACTTAATTATTATTTTTATAAAAAATATATTAAACAAAAAATAATAAAAAAAATGAATTAAAGAAATACATAAAAAAATTAAATAGTTAATTTGGTACTAATATAAAAAAAATTCAATTCTTTATGATGTCTTCATATTTATATCTTATTTAAAAACTAGAAGGATACTCGCGCAATGCAGCGATATACAACTTGATTTTAATATTTCATTTTATTCTTTATCTCAGTCGATGTTATAATATGGTCTTACGTGATTTTGAAAAAGCGATGATGTTTTTATTTTTGAATAAAATATAAATTTGAAGATATCATAAAAATTTGACAAAAATATATTGACATTAGTATCAAATTAACTATTTAAAATTCCTATTTTTTGTGTAACTTTTTAATTTTTTTAATTATAATTTAATTTAGGTTCAATAACGAAATAATTTATATTTGGTTTAATAATATAATTTTCTTATAAAGATAATAATTAATTATTTTGTTAGAACTCGATAATTATTCTAATTATATTTTAGATTTTGTATATTTTAAAATGAGATGTTTATCCTGTATTTGATTATTTTTATCCGCAGTTAGTTACACAAATTCAAACATGAAGCTTTAATAAGTTGTACTTATGCATAATTTACTTGTAATCTTGAATTTTAAGTAATATGCATCAATATACAGTACTTTATACATAAAAAATGGTCTTTAAGAGTTTTTATCAAATGCTTTATAATATAGTATAGATAAAAACATTATTGTTTTCTTAAAATTATATAAAATCATATTATAATATCGACTGAGACAAAAAAGAAACGCAAAACATTAAAATCGAGATGTATCTCGCTGCATTGTGCGAGTACCCTTCTAGTGTGTGTATATATATATATATATATATATATATATATTCTAATAAAATAAATCAAAAATTTTAAATTAAAGTAAATATTAAATAAAAATCTTTATATATATTTTTATAAATTATGACATTGACAAACTGTGTTTTACATTATAAATTCCTAAGTTTTGAAAAACAAATGAAATAAATAGGAGTTTATATATATGTTGAATATCACATTCATGATGAGACATATTTAAAATACTTTGTTCACCATGAATAAAATAATCATATACATTGAATATCATATTCATGATTATGAGTAACATAATTATATGGTTGAGTTACGATGATAATTAGAGTTGATGTGAGAAATGTAAAAAGGGATATCCATCCTTGAATGCACTTTAAGATGAGATGCATCAGATCAATCTCCTTATCAAGCGTGATTCATGTAACAACTCGTCCCATATGGATAGAAGGTCAAAATTGTTAGTTCCTTATAAGTCTTAAGTAGTGGGCTACCAATAATTTCTATCATGGTTTTAAGTTGGATTCAATGTTATTGGCCAATCTGTTGCTTTGGGCTTTGGGAGTGTTACAAATCATGGGTGGGTTTGAGATTAGCTTTGGGGGTGTTTCAAATGTTTGAGATTAAATGTGATCAATGATCCAGATTCATTCTTATGTTTCTCATCTTAACTATCTTTCTCAAAGAATCCTTCAAAATGGTATATATTGAATATTATATCCATAATGAATAACAAATTTAAAATATTATATTCACAAGGAATAACAWMWKARYATATTCATGTATGTTGAATATCATATTCATGATAGATAACATAATTAGAAATAGTATATTCATGTATGTTGAATATCATGTTCATGATGAATATGACATTAAGGACTAATAGCATATTCGCCTCCACGATGAATAACATATTTATATATGTTGAATATCATATTCAAAGTTTTTTTTTTATACAAAAATATGGTATTTTTTAAAATGCATCATAAATTTATGATAAGGTAGTTTGAACTTGTTTTGTAAAACACGGTGAGATTGCAATACACCTTTATCATCACGCATGTAGTGGAACTTTGTAAAAAACGTGATACTCATGCACAAACTCATACTTTATCCGGGTTTGAATATGTTGAAGGTGTCTACAGGATTGTTATCCGAATTCGTAACGAGATGGACATTTGTCATGTTGATGAACCTCGTAGATGTGGTCTATGCCACCAACATGGTCATAATCGAAGAAATTGTACAAATTCCCAATCAAGATTCGTTTCGTTGTGAAAGTTGTAATTTTTTTAATTGGTATTTTAATATCGTCGGATAATAATTTTATTTTGATACTTATTTTACATATCATTTAAAAAGTATCATATTTTTTTGTAAAAAATCTACCATATTCATGATGAATAACATATTTAAAATAGTATATTCATGAATATTAACATATCAAAATGATATATTAATGTATGTTGAATATCATATTTGTTTTCTAGAAAATTTGTCAAACACCTGGTGATAGTTGGGGCGAACTTACATGAAATGGTGCGGGGAAAGGCCCCACTCAAAGGTTAATTTTTTAAAACAACTTATGTTTTTTTTTTATAAAAACACTTATCAAATTATTACAAATTAGAAGGGTTTAACTTATTCAAAAACTTTTTTTTTACCGGTTTGTTTATCCAAACACATAAAAGTATTTATTATCGATGTCACACCGAAATAAATCAATAAATTGTTATTATAAACAATTGCAAACACCCAAGTATTATGATTCAAGTACCGTCCTATATTATTACCATTAGTATGAATGTGTGTGAAAATGATTTTAATGTCTACGGATTTGCGTGCTGCAGGCGGTGGGTTAAATATGTCGTGTTTTTTATTCTGAAAATGGGACCAATCGCATATTATTACTTTCTACATAATTTAATTAAATTGAAAATAACACTGAATTTATAGATATTGGATTAGATTCAAAATTATCTGATTATATTTTATTTTTTTTAAATTAAAAAATTCGGGACGATATTTTCTTTAAACCATTTTATTAATCACGATCGTTAGATCAAATGCTTGTAATGGTTGAGATTTACTTCCACGATGTTTGCGAGAGGTTTAAATGGCGAGGTGGAGCAATGCCGTAGGTTGTGAGAGGTTTGAATGACATAGGACTTTGGAATAGAAAAATTGATATAGGTTTTTTACTTTAAAATCTTCCTAGTCGGTTACAAGTAGGTTTTTTTGTTAAAATGATGTAGATAACTTAATTTTTAAAAGTCCGATGGTTTATTTATTAAAAAATGTTCAAACATTTAATCATTCAAAATGAAAAAGTTTAATGGTATTTTCGTTCAAAAAAATTGTCCAATGACTTAATCATTCGAAATGAGAAAGTTTAATGGGTTTCTCATTCAAAAAAATAGTTTACGAACTTAATCATTCAAAATGAGATAACTTATTGGGTTTTTCTGAACTTTCCCCACATATAAAACATTTAAGTTTTACATTTTAAAAAGTTTTAATTTTTCAAAAACAAAGATGTTAAAACCATCATGTAAAATAAGTACAAATTAATAATAGAATTTCACCAAAATGATCAAACAATACATAATATATTAACAAAATAGCCATTTTTTCAAGTTTTACCAAATAACCACACGGATCGCTCCCGGAGGCATGCTTGACCATAAGGGGCCGATCCAGCCCTCATTGACCAAAACAATATTTTAAATTGATTTGTGGGGCTCACATGTTTTGAATTGGGGACAAAACATTTAGTTTGTCTTGAATAGGGGGGATCACCCCCACCTATCCCCGGATCTTCCCCTGCGAGATCCAACCCTCCAACTTTGACCATTGTTTTGTCTTCTAGTGAGAAAATCGATTTCACAATTAAGGGGTGTTTTCAATAAACAGGGAACAATTTTGTCTGGTTTTTGATTGTTTTAGGACCAAATGTTGTGGTTTTACTCTATAAAATCAAACACTTCTACTCTCACAACACGTAACCATTAAATACAATCTATCAGCACAACCTTAACACAATATGAAATCACACCAAATTTTATAATTTTTACTACTTTTTTTAAACACATAAATGAACCAATGAATTTTTTGTATTTTCTTATACAAATTGTATTTTTTCTAACCATTGAATGTTGATATTTTTTTATAATTGTTGATATGAAAAAAAAATTATTTGTATCTGACTTGGGAAATAAAAATAAGATATTATATCTGAAAAATGTCATATTTTTATAAACCGCCTATTTTGACCACTATTTTGTCATTTAGTAGCTTACGAAGGTATATTTTAGTCATTTTGATAAAAAAAAACCCTATTAATAATGAATACAAAATATTTCAATGTTTTAATATTCGTTTTTTCTCTTGTAAAATATAAGAATGGAAATTCAAAAGGTTTTTAAAAACTCATACTAGCTATTCTATATGAATGGATCAAATTTTAGAAACCCATAAATTAGTCTTAATTTCTAAAAATTCAAATTGTCTTAAAAATAAATATTTTTTAATAAAAAATATAAAAACGGATTTAATTTGATACTCATGTTAATTATATGTATATATATATAGAGAGAGAGAGAGAGAGGGGCACGTTGAAATGAAAACCATGCAATTCTTAGAAACCGTGTAAACTAATTTCAACCAATAGGGAAATTTCATTTTTTTCTAATTAAATTTAATAATTAAGGGTATATTGGTTATTTGCATTGTTTTCTATTAAATATGGAAGTTATTAATAAATCTTAATTAAGGTAACATAATAAAGGAAATTTTATAAGTGGTAACATTTAAATATTTAATAAAATTATAATATTAAAAATTGGATTTTGCTATATTGTGTCTTGGTTTATTATTGCCAAGATTCATGAAAATCGTAAGTTATTAGATTAATAAATCTATAAAATCAGTAATAAAAAAAATATGAATGGAGTAAGTAGAAAATGATTATGAAATGAGTACATGATGAAACCGGTTTCATACATGGTGAAATTGGTGCATGGAGTAAGTGAAAATGATTATTGAATGGGTGCATGATGAAACCGGTTTCATACATGGTGAAATTGGTGCATGGAGTAAGTGAAAAATGATTATGAAATGGGTGCATGATGAAACCGGTTTTATACATGGTGAAATTAGTGTATGAAGTAAGTGAAAATGATTATAAAATGGGTGCATGATGAAATGGGTACAACATGAATAGGATGCATGATGATATGGGTGCGTGAACAATCTCATTGGACAAGTGAAACAGGGTGCATGATGAATATAGTGAGAAATTTACCATAATATGGTGCATGATAAATAGGGTGATGAATAAGGTGCATGATGAAGATGTGGTTGGGCTTACCATTTTGCCCTTCTTGCTATTATAAGATAAAAAATTTAATATATTTTTTCTTAATTTCTTAAAATAAACTAAACTAATCTTGACCATTGATCAAGAAAATGAATGAATGATATTGGTTTACATAAATGGAAGCGGTTTTCATTTCCTATATATATATATATATACATATATATATATATATATACATATATATATATATAGGGTTGGGTTCACGTGAGACCAATCTGTTTTCGTGAGACCCGTGAGACCACATTTTTACACGTAACCTTCACAGCAAAAACACTGTGAAGGTTTAAAAAAAGTCGAACCTTCACAGCAAAAACAMTGTGAAGGTTTAAAAAAAGTCGAACCTTCACAGCAAAAACACTGTGAAGGTTTTAAAAAGTCACCTTCACAGCATTTTTTTGTGAAGTTTCAAGTGTAAAATGTTGGTCTCACGGGTCTCACGAAAACAAGCTGGTCTTACATGATCCTAAGTCTATATATATATATATACATATATATATATATATACATATATATATTCAAATTTTTATCCCGATTTTCAAATATTTCAATCACGAGTCTATTCACTGTCGGCATATTCATACAATAATTTAACCATATTATACAACATTTACAATGTATTATTACATATATAAACACACACACACATAAAATTTATTAATACGTTTGAACTATATAAAACTAGTTTATAACCAACTGATAAATACATTTAAATATAAGATAAACGTTTAACTCACTCGAATTTATAAAATAAAAATCAAGAAAGACGATGTAGAGATTAATGTGTTGCAATCCGCAAGTACACTTATAGTGTGTGTGTCTGTGTGTATAAGGATTTAAATGAGAACACCTGTGATCATGTACGAAAATGCGAGAACATATGTAAGTCATGCATCAGTTTTCAGATCGCATGTTTCAAAAATTTGAGGGATTTTAAAAAAATAAACAGATATGCAATGTTTATTTAGAAATATTAAAGACATGCAGAGGTAAAACTAGAATTGGAATCCAGAATCGCATAACACGATCAGATTTTGCTGATCATCATGGAGGTGATACGTATGTAGTCGGAGATCATTATCACAACATCTTATATTGAATAGTAGTAGAAAAGAATCGATGGTCGTCTGTCACAGGAGGCTATAAAGACAGAGCAAAAGCAGGTTATCGACATTGGAGGCGTCGAGAAAGAAGAGGAGAGTCGGTTTACCAGCGGTATGTTCTACATATCACATATTTATCACATATTCATCATATTTTGATTTCCTATTTTTAATAAACAATAGTCTCACATCTGAATCACATATTTATCAAATTCCACAGTTAGTAGGATTAGGGCAAAATCATTTCAACCTCGGAGGCAACAATGTATTACACACTTATCACATAGCTTCATCATACTGATTTTGAATCAATGGGTGTATTGAAAAACTGGTTGTGGAAACCCACTACTTCGATTTTTTTCATTATATCACAAAATTCTATCACATTTATCATACAGTTATCACATTTGAATAAATCCATTTGAATGGAGACTAACTAAGTGATTCTAGAAAATTTTGGTTGTGTTATTTATAAAATCAGATATGGATTTGTTTTTGGGACAATCATATAGTGATTACTTTATTCAAATATGATATGTAACAACCTCAATTCCATATAACTCATTACACATAACTTTATGCATAACAAATCAAATTAGGATATAACTTAGGTTCCACTCTACAAAACTATCAATTGTCTATAAGCTACCACAAGTTTTTGCTAAATAGATTTTCATACAAAATGATCCATCAAGCAAGAAGATAAAAAAAAAGTAGACTTCATAATACTTCTCGACAGTCTTCACAGATGAAAATCCAAATAGACAATCTCAACCTTTTCCCTTTCCTTTACCTTCTAACCGATGCTACCCTGAAATGCATATTTTTTAAAACAAAAATGAGGGCTAGACTATACAGTCTATTGAGGAAATCCCTGTCAGTAAAACAATATAGTAAAATCATTTA